CTAAAGGCTTCAAAGGATCTAGGGCTGCCTAGACCCTAAACCCGAACCCTAAACCCTCAACCCTCAACCCTCAATCCTAAACCCTACACCCTATACCCTCTACCCGAATACAACCACCCAAAAGTTAAGACGTTGAACAACCGACAGGTTTCCAGCTGTACTTCTGGTCTGGTCCCGAGCGCACGCGGTTCAAGCCCCGCCAGCAGCGCTTTGGGTTTCGGGTTTAGGGTTTATTTTATTAGGGGCCTAGGGCCAGGGGCCTTGGGGTTGGGGTTTGGGGTTTGGGGGTTTGGGGGAGATTTCCAAACCGCCTTGAAGCCAAGCATCGATACCTGTACTTAGTCAGGTTGTTTTTTTTTGTGTGTGGGGGGGGGGGGGGGGGGGGGGGGGGGGGGGGGGGGGGGGGGGGGGGGGGGGGGGGGGGGGGGGGGGTGGGTGGGGGGGGGGGGGGGGGGGGGGGGGGGGGGGGGGGGGGGGGGGGGGGGGGGGGGGGGGGGGGAGGAGGGGGGGGGGGTGGACTAGGCTTGCACGTCTTAACTTTAGTCATTCTTTTGATGGGGTTGGGGGGCCCTTTCTAAAGGGTTCCATTTGTAAAAACCCGAAGCCGGAAACCCTACCCTCAGCCCCAAACCCTCGACCCTAAAGCCTAAACCCTAATCCCTAACCCCAAATCTAAACCCTAAACCCTAAACCCTAAGCCCTAAGCCCTAAGCCCTAAACCCTAAACCCTAAACCCTAAGACACGCAGCATCTAAGGCTACATCTGGGCCACCTCGCCTGGTTGCCCTCCCTCTGGCGGACGCTCAGGCTTCCCAGAACCACACCTTCAGCCAGGGGGTTTAGGGTTTAGGTTTAGGGTTTAGGGTTTAGGGTCTAGGGTCTAGGGTCTAGGGTTAGGGTCTAGGGTCTACAGGGTTTACAGGGTTTACAGGGTTTATAGGGTTTAGAGAGGTAATAGGGCCAATAGGGTTTATAGGGTTTATAGGGTTTGTAGGGTTTGTAGGGCTTATAGGGTTTGCAGGGCTTACAGGGTTTACAGGGTTTATGGGGTTCATGGGCTTTCAAGGGTGTATAGGTCTTGCAGGGTTTAGGGTTTAGGGTTTAGGGTTTAGGTCTTGCAGGGTTTATAGCGTTTATCAGGTTTATAGGGTGGCCCTTTGATTCGCATCCAGACCGGCCCAGGGGTCAGCTTTTCCCGCGAAGTCGGGCACGCCTCTTCCTTTAAAGGATCCGTAGGAAAAGGGTTTCAGGTTTTAGGGTTTTAGGGTTTAGGCTTTAGGGGTTCAGGGTTTGGGGTTTAGGGGTTTGGGGTTCAGGGTTTAGGGTTTAGGGGTTCAGGGCTCGGGTTTCTCAGATTCGATGACGCGTGGGGCCTTGTAGCACCTCATGCTTTCACGTTCGGGCGGCTCAAGCCCGCCCTGAAAGCCTTGTTTTGCGTGAGCCAAAACCCCCCAAACACTCGACCCAAAACCCCAAACCCTAAACCCTAACCCTACACCCTAAACCCTTAACCCTTTGCCATCCACCACATCCCTCGCCGCCCAAGCCCTTCCCCCCCTCCCACCTCGCACCTGCACGTCTCGAAGGCCATATGAAAGTTGGCCCAAATCTTCAAACCCCCCACAGCCCCGCCGGAACCCAAGCCCAAGCCCTGAACCCTAAAGGCTTAACCCTAGAACCCTCAAGTCTACCCCTCCAAGTACCCTTCGCAAATTTCCTTAAAACCCCAAAGATCTCGTACACCCCCAAATATAGGTCTAAGGTTCAAGGGTTTAGAGTTTCTGGTCCAGGGTTTCCGGGTTGGGGTTTAGGGTTTAGGGTTTAGGGTTTAGGGCTTAGGGCTCCTTACACACCCCGGAGGCTGCACCCGAGCATCGAGGAGCAAGCCGACCGCGCCGTCCGCGCCTTCCTCGAGCCCGGGAGCGGGGTTGGCCGAGTACTGTAGTCTAAAGATGGGTCATTTTTGCAGTTTAGGGTTTGGGGTTTGGGGTTTAGGGTTTAGGGTTTAGGGTTTAGGGTTCAGGGTTTAGGGTTTAGGGTTTGGGGTCTCTTGTTCATGTCTTTTCAGGCGGAAGGTCCAGTGTAAGGTCCATTGTGGAGGGCTCCAGGTCCAAGGTCTTTCTTCTTCGGATGGGGGGGAGGGGGGGGAGGGAGAGGGGTTACATGTAGGGAGGGGGATTTTGTAGGGAGATTTGGGAGGGGGTGCTATGGACTACTCTGTGTATGGCCGAAGTACCATCTCAAGGTCCAAGCCATGCTCTTTCCCAGTCTTTTTATCAGACATAGGGTTTTTAGGGTTTCGGGTGATTTTCGCCCATCCTGACTGTTACCTGCACGACTCAATGCTCTAGACCCCATGCAATAACCGGAGCGAGTTCATGATTCCTACTGCTGGAGTAAATCTCGGGACGCCATTTAAGTAGTCCCAATTTCACCATGAGAGACCCTACCCATCAGTCCTTTGTTATGCGACAGCTCCATTAAGAAAGCACGGCGTTGAGAGATTTCTCCCAAGAATAGAGCCAAATAGTGCACGAGGGCTGTTCCCATCTAAGCTTTCCAGGCAGCCCAGCGAAACACCTCCAAACCCTAAGCCCTAAACGAGCCAAACCCCGAACCCTAAACTCTAAAGCCCTAAACCCTAAACTCTAAAAAACCCTAAACCCTAAACCCTAAACTCCACAGACCTAAACTAAACCCCCGACAGGAAGCCCTTTGTGGCAGTCCACTGGCGCAAGCGCGACTTGTCGGCTGGCGGTTTGATGGAGCGACTGGGCATTCCAGCAGTTTTATAGCTCGTGTGGGTTTAGGGTTCAGGGTTTAGTTTAGGGTTCAGGGTTTAGGGTTCAGGGTTTTGGGTTTAGGGCTTAGGGCTTAATTAGAGCATACAAATAGTTGGAGGTTCTACCGGGGCCTGCGCCTGAAGTCTCTCGACTCAGGTCGAGATTCTGCATTTTGGGTGTGGGTGTTGATCTAATGGGGTTTAGGGTTTAGGGTTTAGGACTTAGTTAGGGTTCTTAAGGCAAGGAACTGATGCAAAGTCGACATTTCGATGGCATGAGTGTCTGCGAAAGAGCCGCACGGTCAGGGAAATGATTTTTTGGCGAAAGTCTTGACGTAAGGGACCCGACCATGCTTCTAAACCCTAAGCCCCAAACCCCAAACCCCAAACCCTAGGCCCTAAGCCCTAAACCCTAAACCCTACACCCTAAACCCTAAACCCTAAACCCTAAACCCTAAACTCTCGTCCCTAAGCCGATCCGAGGTACTACGAGAACGTGGGCGTCCGCTACCACGCCACCGCCTCGGTGCCGCTGGAGCTTTCAGGGGTTTAGGGTTTAGGGTTTAGGGTTAATCCTAAACCCTAAACCCTACACCCGAAACCCTCAACCCAACCCCTGGAGAGGAGATCTTCAACTCGCTGACCTCTTGCGCGCCCAAGCACCTGCGCTGCGCGGACCTCTTCGTGATCCTCGGCCTTTGGAGGGTTTAGGGTTTAGGGTTTAGGGATTCGGGTGTAGGGTTTAGGGTTTAGGGTTTAGGGGTACCCCAAACCCACATATAAGAGAGGCTTATCGGGCTTCGTACCCTAAGTCCCCAAACTCTGAAACCTTGAGTCTCAAATCCCGCAAAACGGAGGATGACCCACCTCGCGCACACCTCCGACGACTTTCGGTCGCTGCAGGCTCCGCACTCCTTGGCAGGTTTAGGGTTTCGCGTTCGGGTGCCCACTTCCAGCTAACCAGGAACTTCCAACCAAAGCATAAAAAGCTAGCGCAAAAGAGACTGATCCCTAAACCCTTTGATAAACCCCAAACCCAAAACCAGAAGCCCTAAACCCCAAACCCAAAACCCTAAACCGCAAACCCTAACCCTCAAACCCTAAACCCTGACCCCCAAACCCTAAACCCCATCCCCTAAACCCGAAACCCCAAACCCCAAACCCTGAACCCGAAACTGCACCACCTAAACCCCACCCCCTAAACCCCACCCCCCCAAACCTAATCCCCCTAAACCTCAAACCCCGAACCCTAAACCCCAAACCGTAACCCTAAGCCCTAAGCCCTAAACCCTAAAACCCTAAACCCTAAACCCTGAACCCTAAACCCTCAACCCTAGACCCTAAACCCTACACCCAATCAGGCGCTGCACGCCAGCGACTGCGGGCCAAATCGGCTCCACTCCCAAGGCAGCCTCGGGACTCTGAAGGAGCCATAGCAGAGCATGGTGTTTAGGGTTTGGGGTTGGGGTTTAGGGTTTAGGGTTTAGGGTTTAGGGTTTATAGGGTTTAGGGTTTAGGGTTTAGGGTTTAGGGTTTAGGGTTTTTTAGGGTTTTTTAGGGTTTAGGGTCTTTTAGGGTTTAGGGTTTAGGGTTTAGGGTTTTTTAGGGTTTAGGGTTTTTTAGGGTTTAGGGTTTTTTAGGGTTTAGGGTTTAGGGTTTAGGGTTTAGGGTTTTCAGGGTAACTTTCCGGCTGGGTGGCTTCATGAGCATAACCCACCTTGCTGACCCTACTTACTACGTCGAAGGGCTTCCAAGCAGAAGCTGACGACCCGACCCGATTAGTTTTGATACTTGGTTTCCGTACTCTAGTGTTCAAGCCGTAGAAGAAGATACTTCTACAACGTTTCCTGTTGCCAGACGCTCTCGGACGAGCGCAGAACACCTCCCACCAGACTCCCCCCCCCCCATGCTCCACTGTGTGCGATAAGACTAACAAGCAAGGAGCTGTCTTGAAGCAAACGGGGAGGCTGAGGGTGGCGAGTGATAGTCAGAAATGTGCCTGCCTACTTGCTTGTAGTACACCTAGAAACCATAAACCCTAAACCCTAAACCCTAAACCCTAAACCCTAAACCCTAAACCCTAAACCCTAAACCCTAAAACCCTGCCTAAACCCTAAACCCTAAACCCTAAACCCTAAACCCTAAACCCTAAACCCTAAACCCGTAATCAAAGGAGCGGCCGAGGGGCTGGGGCAAACTTCACGGCCTCCTGCTGGACATGGCGATCAGCTCCCGGGCAAACTTCTTCCTGGGCGGCTTGAACTTCTAACTGATTCTAGGGTTTAGGGTTTAGGGTTTAGGTTTGTGGGGTTTAGGGTTCCTGATTTTATTGTAGGAAGAAGGCAAAGCAAGGCTACGGGGGAGGCTGGGCGGGGGACTACGCGAACGCGGGGTCGTTGGTGGTGCAGCGGCTCGGCCGTCCTATGCAATCTCAGGTTTCTGTGGACTGCGGGCCAAAACCGAAAGCCCATCCCAGCTTTATGGCCCCAAACCCTAAACCCTAAACCCTAAACCCTAAACCCTAAACCCTAAACCACCGAGTTTCCTCTGAGCCCTGTCAGTGTGCACCCTTGGTCCTAAGGCAGCTGCGGTTGGCCGCAGGTCGGAGCTACTGGTGCAGCGCCTGGATCCATGACGACGTGTGCTCGCAAGCTGGCGCACGCATGCTCCCACCTGAGACGACCTCCTGTACAACCTGACCTACATGGGACATTCACGAAATTCGGGGTACTGTACCTTATTGGGCTTAGGGTTTATGGGTTTAGGGGGGGTCCTTACTATAAAGGGATCCTGCTACTTGGGGAGTCCCAAGAAGCGGTGCATCCGCCATCTCGCGATCGCGGCCGCGGAGGACAAGGAGAGCAGGCCGTCGTCGACCTACGGGAGGGAGAGATGTTTGTTCACAGCTTCAAGCAAAGGCACGCTACGTCATTACAGGACAGGTGACAGTTCAGCAGACCAAGCGGAACATGCAGAGAGGAAGCTGGTTGCAAGCATGTGTTTCAGCTGACGGCAGGAAGTCTTGGAGTTTAGCGAACAGCTCTTGGAGAAGTGTGAGCAAGAGCTCGGGTACACTTACCGCCGCTGTTTTGGCGCAATCTTCTCGTCTTGGACGTGCTGATCAGTTGAAAGTCTTAACCCTAAACCCTAAACCCCTGGCACCTTGCTGAACTACGAATGCTGAGTGGGCGACCTGTTCCCGACGCATGCCATGAGGATACCAAAGGACCAGCAAGTGCACTTGAGAGCATCTGGCCCAGCAGATTCCACTGGGGCGAGGCTGTTGGGCCACACCCGTGGCTTGGTAGCCCAGTGGTACCCTTTACTCTGTTTTTTGGTTCTGGGTTCCCTTATCGAGTAATAGGAACCAACCAAAAAAAGGGTGCCCTTGTCATAATATGGTCCCTTATTGAGTAATAGTAACCAACCAAAAAGGGTGCCCCTTATTACATTATGGTTACTGGGCTACTAAGGTGGTGTCATCCTAAGGCATAGAGCCGCTGCGTGGTAGTACCAGACCAGCTCCGCGAACAGAAGCTCGCTGAAATGCGCAGTTCCCGTAAGCCCTAAACCCTAAATCCTAACCCCTAAACCCAGAAACCCTACACCCTAAACCCTAAACCCTAAATCCTAAACCTGAACCCACAACAGAGGCTTTCAAAGTCCGTAGTAGAAAGCAGCCATGGTCTACCGAGGACCCGAAACCCTGCCAACTTGAAGTGCTCTGAAACCCTGTTCCCCGGTGGTACATTGTCAGCTTACGTATTTGCAAGCTTTTTGTTCTTCATGTATGGGGGGGGGGGGGGGGCGGGCGGGGGTATGCACCTTGGTCCCTAAGCCTGCGTGGGGGGGGGGGGGGTTTTCTGAGGGAGAACCCTAGACTTGGGATGCTCCCCCTTGTACTGAAACAGTCCTCAATATGGATTCTAGTACCCCCTATTATCATGCTAATTAAGGACGTTCGTATAAGGGGAACATCCCAGCCCTAAACCCTGGTTCCTAAACCTTACACCCTGAACCCCTACGTATAGAATCTCGCGACAGACTGAGAGGGTCGCTGGCTCACGGGCAGTTTTCACATGTTGCCAAAATCCCTCCCTCCCCTTGTAAATTACAGTTTGGTATGTTCCCCCTTATACTACAAAGGGATTAAATAATCCCCACTAAAAGCTGTATAAAGGGGGAACATCCTCAATTACTGTAAAACTTACCCAACAAAACAGGCAAAGACATTGCAGGTGTACAGAGGGTTTTAGGGTTCCGGGGTCGGGGTACTTGGCCCTTTTTGACGTTCGGAGGAAGGGGGCTTATGATTCTGGGAGGTTTTACGGTTTAGGGCTTAAGGGTTTAGTGGTTTAGGCGTTTCATAGGGATTCTAGTACTCTCGATGATCATCCCTATTAAGGACTGTTAGCTTCAGGGGGGACATGAAACCCTAAACACCAACGCTTCAACCCTGATCTTTTGTGAACCCCTCGTGCCGTATGCTGACACCCTGAGCTCTATTTCAAGAGCAGTTCTAGCTGGGCATCTCCCAACCCTAAGCGCTAGCATACTTCCCTTGCAGGTGCTCCGAGCCGAGCGCAAAGGTCGCCGGTGGGAGCTGACGCAGCTCGAATGCGGTTTGCGGGGAGCGTGGTAGTTACCAGGTAGTGACATACCTCCACCCCTGCCTCCACCCCCCCCCCCCCCAAAAAAAAAAAAGAGAACAAAGTTCCAACAAAGAGTGTAGTAAGGGTAGGGTATAAGCCGGTGAACAGAGACTCTTCGGGATATAGCAACTAACATAGCACGACGGCAAGGACCTCTGCACCTATGTTCCCACAAAAACCCTAATCCCTGAACCCTAAGCCCCCCCCAACGGCTCCCTTGATGCCCTCCGCCGCAACACAATCAATCCGAGGCTCTCGGACACCCGCGTGCTGCACGCGGACCACGTTGTCAATGCAACAGGCGGTGTGCGTTATTGGGGCGTTGTTGGGGGGTTTTCGGGTGTATACGGTTTACGGTTTAAGTTTAAGGTTCAGGGTTTAGGGTTTAGGGTTTAGGGTGTAGGGCTTCGGGGTATCGAGGTTTTGAGGGACCCTAAGCTCTAAACCCCAAGCCCCAAAAGAAGGGGAGACGGTGGGTTCTGTTGGGCTTGAAGGTCCCGATACCCGTGGCAGTGCACAGCTCCCAAAACTTCTAGAGCCCTGTTTAGGGTTTAGGCTTTAGGCTTTAGGGTTGAGGGAATAGCCCTAAAAGTCCTGTATATCGCCCTAACTCACCCTAACTAGGCGGCCCTAACCTCATGAAACCCATGAAGTCCTAAAAGCCCCAAAAGCCCGAAACCCGGAACCCAGAAAACCTTAACCTGGTTCTGCGTGGGAATTGTGGGAGTTGGGTATCCTTTATCCCCTTATGTAGGGTACCTAAACCCTCAACCCTAAAACCCTGAACCCTAAATGCCTCATTCCGTTCTCCTTGGAGGTTCACAGGCACGTATAACCCCACTTAAAACTGTACTTAAAACCTGCTCATGGGACTTCGGGGGCTTCTAAGTGCAGTTAGAATTGGGGTTGTAAGTACCCATGAACCTCCAAGTAAGAGCCAACCCTAAACCCTAAACTCCTAAACTCCTAAACCCTAAACCGCCTAAACCGCCTAAACCCTAAACCCTGTAAACCCTATCAGAAGCCCTAAATCCTGAACCCTAATTACACCTCAGTAGGTAGAAGCCTCTCAGATCTGCGCAGAGGCCTCGGCGCCGATTGTGTCGAGGCCGCTTGAGGAGGTTTAGGGCTTTCAGGGATTTCGGGTTTAGGTTTTATGGCTTTTAGGGATTTCGGGTTTAGGGTTTAGGAGTTTAGGGTTTAGGGTTCGGGCTTTTGGGGTGTAGGGGTTTAGGGTTAGGGCCTTTAGGGTTTAGGGCTTTTAGGGTCTCAGGTTTAGGGTTTTTCAGGGTTTAGGGCTGTTTAGGGATTTCGGGGTTGGGGTTTTGGGGTTTGGTGCTTGGGGTGTAGGGTAAGGGGTTTACGGGGTTTACGAGTTTTGGGTTTATGTGGCTTAGGGGTTTAGGGCCTATAATTAGGGACTTAGGGCTTTTGTTATTGCAGACCGTCACTGCGGACCACCCACGCGAGAAGCGCGCCAAGATGCAGAGAATGCAAAACTAGGAGAGTCAAACCCTAAACCCTAAACCCTAAACCCTAAACCCTAAACCCTAAACTCTAAACCCTAAACCCTAAACTCTAAACCCTAAACCCTAAACCCTAAACCCTAAACCCTAAACCCTAAACCCTAAACCGTTCATTCAGGCATTGCGCCGCTTTTGGGCTCCCAAGGCTGGTAACAGTATGGCAACCCAAGGGCACAGCAGAAGCCCAACATCCAAAACCCATTGCATAACATCAAACACGCTCCAAAAATGCCCCAAAACCCCTGGGTTTAGGGTTTAGGGTTTAGGGTTTAGGGGTTTAGGGTTTAGGGTTTAGGGTTTAAGGTTTCGGGTCCAAACCGCAAGCTGATGTCCAGGCTCTGCAGGCGGGTGCCTCTCTCCGTTTCCAGCCGCGAAGAGGCCTTTGTAGAACATGCCGTCGGTATGTTGGGGTGGGGGGGGCGGGGGGGGAAACCCGCAAATTGAGAGTTTGGGGGGTTGATGTCTAAAGTTATGACAGGATTTCTCGTGCGTGTAAAGATGTTCAGGGTTTAGGGATGTTTAGGGTGCTTAAAGATGTGTCGCGTCTTGAACCAAGTTGCCTCAGCCCCACGAATCACCTATGTTATCCTGCCCAAGCGCCTAGGCCCTAGGCACTAAAACCGACACCTCCAAACCCTGCACCCTGAACCCCAAACCCTAAACCCTAAACCCTAAACCCTAAACCCTAAACCCTAAACCCCAAACCATAACCCTATAAGCCCTGAATCCTAAAACCTAGGCCTCCCTGAACCCAGACAAGGTTGCCTTGCACTCACAGGTGCACCTTGGGATGTCCGCCCTTTCCTACGAACAGCCTGTAAAACCCTCCTCAACCCTCAACCCTCAACCCTCAACCCTAAACCCTAAACCCTAAACCAAAACCCTTATAGTACTCCTTAGTACAATCCCCTTTGAGGACCTGTAAGTATAAAGGGGGAACATCCCAAGGTGTACCCCCATGCTGTTAGAAGCCCGCCCGGCGAATCCCAGAATGCACTTTGCCATGGGGACCTAGTGAGCCCAAACAGAGTTTAGGGTTTAGGGTTTAGGGTTTAGGGTTAAGTTCGGAGTCTAGAGAGTTGCCGATGCAATCTCCTGATATTCCCAGCAGTACAATACAGACAGTGACAGCGCTGTTGAAGAAATCATTGGGTTACGTAAGCCCTACACCCTACACCCTAAACCCAAAACCCAAAACCGCGAGCCCTCCACCTGTGGAGGGACCAAATATTCACTAAACCCCTTTTTGGTTTGAGTTTAAACGACTCATTGGACGTCATAAAGAAGGCTATAAGCACTCAACCTCGGTTAGCTTAGATGCAAGCCCCAGAAAATCCCGAGCCAACGTGCAAGACCTAAACCCTATAATCCCCAAACCCCTAAACGCCTTAACCCTAAGCCCTACACCCTAAACCTAAACCCTAAACCCTAAACCCGTGCATCAGGCGACTTCCTCCTCTTCCGGCGGCCAGCTGCTGACACGGAGCCTCCAATTTCCGCACCGATCGGCCCCTGGGCTAGGGTTTAGGGTTTAGGGTTTAGGGTTTAGGGTTTAGGGTTTAGGGTTTAGGGTTTAGGGTTTAGGGTTTAGGGTTTAGGGTTTAGGGTTTAGGGTTTAGGGTTTAGGGTTTAGGGTTTAGGGTTTAGGGTTTAGGGTTTAGGGTTTAGGGTTTAGGGTTTAGGGTTTAGGGTTTAGGGTTTAGGGTTTAGGGTTTAGGGTTTAGGGTTTAGGGTTTAGGGTTTAGGGTTTAGGAATTAGGGTTTAGGG